CTTATCAAGTGATTACGGATCCCCTCAGGGAAAAATATTTGCTTAATACCAGGCAGGGGAGAGAGAGCCTGCTTACAAGCCACACGAACTATACGGGAAGCACCTCATTTAACATCTCTCCTGCCTTAAATGCTCAGTGATGCCTTAGCAGGAAGCAGCGCTTACAGGTGGTTTCCTGGATGCTGGCTGGATCACTCGCCTCTTCCCCGTACATCGCATACACCGCGACCGAGTACTCCGTGCTGGGCGACAACCTGTCGAGCAGAACCTCAGGCTGGGCCACTTTCACCTACCAACAAAGATCGTCTTGGGTTACCCCTTGATTCTGGGGTACCCTCCAATGCCCTTGACAGAGCAAGGGCCAAACATGACACTACACAGACACAGGCTGAGGGCAAGACCCCTTTGGGTTGTACTAGTGGCATTTCACAATTTGGGTTGTACAGTCATCACTAGGACACATTGATTTTCCTGCCCTGGTCTGCAGCTGTGCAGGTCTCTTGCACTTCATCAGCTGTAAACAAAAAATGATTCTTTGTTTCTAAGAAAAATCTCTTTAGTTTTTTTTTCCTGAGGAATTCCCTAAAAACAGGGAAGGTAGAAAGGACAGCAGCTCCCACAACTGAAAATAAGTTTAAGGTTGTTTTATAGCCATAGTACCCTCAAATCATATCCTTAATGAAAATCCCTCAAAAAGGAAGGCAACATATTTTAATTTATATTTTATATTTTAATTCATTTTAATTTACAGGTATCCCACAATGATGAGTCCCCTTAGAGGGCCAAATTCTCTCTGGGACAGTCCCAGATGTTTGCAAAGGGAAGGCAAATTCCTCATCCTTGAGCTCTCCAGGATGGGGATTAAGGCCAGAGAATATACTGCTGGTTCTTCCTGCAGCGTTTGGGAGGTAATATATGTTTTACAGTAAGAGAGGATGAAAGGGGCTCAGAGAAGCTGAGGTTTTAGGCAAAAGAGGAGGATCCTGTCTCCCGAGACACAGCGGGAAGGCCAGGCTTGCATGCAGGCCATAGCAGCTGGGATGCTGCCACCTGCCGCTAACTGAGCCCAGGCACATCTCTCCTTTCACAGGGTTATTGCAAAAAAACTACCTGGCAGGCATTTAGGAGTCTGCATACAAAGCAGCACACTTTTATAGAAGGCTGGGGGTGCTTTCACACTGATTTTGTAGATAGCATGCAGCCACAGCGCACTGAAGTTTTGCCGTGGGCAAGTGAAGACAGACAGGACAAATGGTGTGGTTAATCTTTTGGACTCTACCTCCACCGTATAGTCCTCGGCACCTCGGGGGGCTGCTGAGCAGAGCACCAGGTAGTGAGTGGCTCCCGGGGCCACCTTCCAGCTCAGCCTCATGCTGTTGTGACTCAGCTCGGAGACACGCAGGGAAGCGGGGGGAGACAACGGCACTGAGGGGGAAAAACAGGACTGAAGGACTCACAAAATAAAAGTTAAAGCACAGCTGTTCCCCTCGGCTGTTCAAGTGTATCAAAGCCAACGCATCAGTTCAAGGAAAGCAATTAGGACTCATATCCTCAATGTACGAGGTTTATGACAAACCCCAGGGGAGTCCTGGCTTTGCAAGAGCTACTGAAAGCCAGTGGGCATCTGCCCACCATCTAACAGCACAGCAAGCACCTGATGCATAAATAGGATTAATTAACATGGAAACCCAGGATGAAAAAGGGACAAGGGGATGAAAGACATTTCTAGCAAGGGATGCTACTCCTACTATTTAACATAGTGCCAATGCCCTCCTCTGCAGGAGGGCACAGATGGAAAGGAACCCTTAAACGTTGCTGGTCCAACCTCCTGCCCAAACAGATTAAGAGATTACAGAGGGTTCCTCAGCATCTTGTCCAGCCAAGTACTGAACATCTCCCAAGGATGGAGACAGTTGCACACAGACTACCCAAACTTGAGGAAGTGGGAGGAATGTTATGCCTGGTTCCAGCCTGAGATGGTCACAGTGAGGTTTGTCCAGCTATCACAGAACTGCCCATCAGTGCAATTCTCTCTACTCATGACGTACGTGTGGAGGTGATGCCTCTCAGACCATCTCCCACACCAGTGTCATAAAGAGCAAACACTGACACCAGGTATTCTGTGTGCGAAGTCAAGTTGGCAAGCTGCAAAGAGGAGATGGCTCCATCTAAAACCACCTGCAAGCACAAATGAAGACTGTCAAGATGGTGAGGAGCCAGTGGTTCCCTAGGAAAGAAACTGCTGAATTAGCCTTTCCTATCATCACATGCGACTTCCTTATGGTAGTTCTGGCCCGGAAACATGAAGTTCGATTGCCCTCCTAATTTTTGCCCTCCCCAGCTATTATCTCTGGGGAGGCTCTCTTGCCCTCCCCAAAATAGAGATG